TCTGCCCCGCGCGGCGGGCGGGGGCGGCCTGCTGGGCGCCAGCTTCAAGTCTACGGGTTCGTCGGTGCCCGAGCTGGAGTACGCGGCGGCCGAGTACGAGCGGCTCAAGAAGGAGTACGAGATCTTCCGGGTCAGCAAGAACCAAGAGCTGCTGTCCATGGGCCGCCGCGAGGCCAAGCTGGACACCGAGAACAAGCGGCTACGGGCCGAACTGCAGGTAACCCGCCGGCCGCGCCCTCGCCCTCCACCCTGTCCCCTCTGCAAGCCAAGTCCTTTGCAGAGTCGCGCGGAAACTGATCCCCATTTGGGGGGTCATTATTTCCTGAGCCTAAACTTGACTCATTATCAGCTCCCCTTCTCAGTTTCAGTTTCTGATCCATTCATTCAGACACCTTGAAGCGATTAGCCTGAGCATAGGGAACCCGCAGATGCTACTCCCGGAGAAGTAGACTCGCGGGAGGCTGACACACCGACGCTGGTGACCTCTGCGGAAGCAACCTAACAAAGTCTTCCTAGAGTGTTGCTCTCCCCACGACCCCCTGGGATGTACAGACCTCCAAGGTGGGGCTGACTGCTCAATTTCTTTCAGAAGCACCAGAACTGTAGGGTTTCAGTGATCTTGATAGGAATTGTTCCTGGAAGCCTCCTCTTTTCACCATCTTAACTGCAGAGGCTGAAAACCCTCCCTAGACCTAGTCAAATTCCCTTAGTCCATTTGGTTAGTTTTCTCAGAGCAGTTACCACAGGCCCTCCATTTTAGTCCCTCCTTGAAATAGCATATAAGCAATAGGTTGCTTTACTGTGAGCAAAATGCTGAGACTTTGTGGTATCGGTTTGGGGGCCCCTAAGGGTATTTGTGTCATTTGTTTACTCTTCTTTTTTACTGTGGGGGAGACTTCTAGACACCAGAGGTAAACCTTGACAATTTTATTTTTTATTCTCTTAAAGATAGGAAACTGGGAGCTGGGAATTTAGCTCAGTGGTTCTGCCGCCTGCCTCTCAAGCTCAAGGACCGGAGTTCGACCCTTGGTACCAAAAGAAAAAAAAAAAAGGTGGAAAATTTGAGGTGTAGGGAAGTTCAGAGCTAATCAGTATTTCAAAGAAAGGGCACCCATTTCTAGTGACAGCTTAATGTCCAGGTGTCTTCACTTGACATAGTTCAAGCGTGTTTTCCATTATGTGATTGAATAAAAGTGGCAACATGCAGTTGAGAAGTAGATTATTAAAACTCTAGGATGTATAACATAAATGTGAGAATGTAAAATTTGGGAGAAAGTTTTGTTAAGCAATAATAAGGTAAACTATTCCAGGCACTTCAGAAAACTTATCAGAAGATTCTTCGGGAAAAAGAAAGTGCTTTAGAAGCAAAATATCAAGCAATGGAGAGAGCAGCCACATTTGAACATGACAGAGATAAAGTTAAAAGGCAATTCAAGGTAAATTTCTTACAGTTTTACCTTCAGAGTGACACAGAAAAATGTATATTTTACAAGTTCATATAACATTGTGATGAATAAGTAGAATAATGTAGAATTCACGCAAGGTTCTAAGAACTGGAATAAAGCACTTCTTACATTTTTGAGTTGGACATGGTAAACATGAGATAGTTTGAAAGAAGAGATATCAAAGTGAACATTTTAATGGAGCTTTTGAAAAAAGAAAAGCAGTATTCTATGTTGGAAATCTTTTAGAAGTGTTTGGTGATGCTGTGTGTAAAAGGACACTCCTGAGAAGGAGGGAGGTAAAAATTTGCTAAACATCGTGTGATGCCCATGCCAGTTCCACACCACACACATCCATCCTTCCGGAATCCCAATGGGTTCCAGTTAGGAAATAGTAAGGGACAGTTTCTGGGATATTCATTCTACCAAAGAGGAGATGGAGAACCAAATGACTACAATTGTGGGAATGAAAAGTGTTGTTCTTAAAAGTTGATGACACAACTTTTTGATTATGAAAAAGGACTCAAAATTCTCCTTTTAAAAAGATTTTTAGGGAGACCAAAGAAAATGAAATTCAGGACTTATTGAGGGCCAAGCGAGAGCTGGAGAGCAAGCTTCAGAGATTACAGGCTCAGGGGATCCAAGTATTTGATCCTGGAGAGTCGGATTCAGATGACAACTGTACGGATGTTACTGGTAAATTTATTTCCTGGTTTTAGTATGCTGAGCTGTCAGCATAGCTAGAGTAATATTGTAGAGCCAACTCTGGATTCTGCTTTATGCCTTTTACTTGTCTATATTAGCTAGGTGGTTGCTTAGACTTCTTTTACCGAGTTGTGCTTTATCTCTCTGATGCTGGGTACCGCCTCTCCTTAAACTACGTGATGTAATAGGCTCAGGTTCCTTCTGTCATGTTGCTCTGCAAACCAGACCCATGAATTTCTTGATGATCTAAGAGCTGTGCCAGGGCACACCATCACACCTGCATTTTAGCCAAGGGGACACAGGAAGGGGAGAACCATTGCTTTCCTGGAAGGCACCACCTGAAAGATATACAGGTCACTTCTGCTCAAGTACCCTTGTCTGGAGCTAAACCTAGGAAGATTGGAAAATATCTTCAATAATGAGGCAAACATGTGTCCAAATAAAGTCTGAGCTTCTGTTAGTGGAGGAAGAGAGAAGGGATATTGGAGTTCCCCTACAGCCTTATTTTTTCACATAATGAGGTATTCTGAGTGGTTTCCATTTGTACTTTTGTGAGCTATTCAAAAAGTTTTTGGCTTTATAATTAAATGTACAAAATGTATTTTTCTAGCAATAAAGAAGAGCCTGAAATCACAGAATGAAAGAGGTCACCATATTCTTAAAAAAGATTATTAAAGTATGACTAACACTGAAAAAAAAGGAAAAGATTCTGTATGCAGGGTAAAAATGCAATCACTCTATTAGGCACTGTAATGATTTCTTACAAAATGTACTTTAGTACATTCAAGTTAATGCCCAGCCTGACATACAAACAACTTGGGCTAGATTAATGGAAGATTCATCTGCCTCTTGTTATCTATAGCATATATCCAGGTGAACCTCCAGATCTCAGCCAACTTGAGTTACAACCAACCCTTGGGCACCAATCAAGTTCATAAGTCAAGGGTCTGCTGTAACTGATGACTCTTTTTTAATTTTTGTATTAGTCCCATTGGAATTGACCACTATCATGGGCCTTTTATTGCTAACTTTTGAAAAAAAATATGAAGTGCTTCTCAGTGGCCAATGAGCAACTGGAAAAAATGCCTTTTGCTGTCAAATTGGTCATCGTGATTGTTTCAGTGTTAACATGTTCAAATGTGCAGTATTTCAGAGTGATCATAATTGTCTTGGCAAGTTCACAAAAACAACTTAATATTTTCTCCTAAGTCTTTCTTCTTCATATTATACTTTAAAGTTGAAGAAGGAATGCTTGAGGGAGTGCCCCCACTTGAGATTCAAAAAGCTACAAAGAGTAAACATAGTTTTGTCAAAGATTTATCCCAAAATAATTGTCCACTTATAGTTAGTTCAGGACGCCAGATAGATAGCCTGGCAAATATGATTTATTAAGAAATCATATGTTGTACAAGTTTAATCCCCGGTACCAAAAAAAAAAAAAAGAAAGAAATCATATGTTGTAATTAGCTGTTGATTCAAATGTTAATTTTAGGGCCAGGGATTTAGCTCAGTGGTACCACCTGCCTCACAAGCACAAGGTCCAGAGTTCGATCCCTGGTACCAAATTTAAAAAAAGAAATGCTAATTTTATGGTTCTGGGAAGTTGAAAAGTATGCCCTCCCTGTGTAGACAGCTTGTATCCCAATGGACTATAGCTATAAATTATTAGTGTGCTAGGAACAATCTGTCTTTAGTTCTTTCCTTAAAATCTTAATTGATATATAAGATATAACTAGAAATAATCTGTATAATTTTATGTGAGAGTTTTTATCTGTTTTCTTACTGTAATTCCTTTGTTTTTTTGTACTCTTGTTTCTTCTTGACCTTTTCAATCCCCTCTTTCAATTTGAGATGATAACCAGAATTATGTTAACTAGAACCTTGGAATTTTCTCAAAAATTGGTGGCAAAGTACTTTTACAATTATTAAATATTTCTTGAATTTATAATATTGTAATGATTTTAACATGAGAAATCCTGCTTAATATTTGTGGTGAGTTTTTGGACGTCTAATAAGTTGACTTTCACAAATGCAAATGTCTTGCTGTAACAGTTTCTGGAACCCAGTGTGAGTACTGGGCCGGTCGAGCCCTGGGCAGCGAACCCTCCCTGGGGAGCATGATCCAGCTTCAGCAGTCCTTCCGAGGTCCAGAGTTCGCGCACAGTTCTGTAGATGTGGAAGGGCCCTTTGCAAATGTCAACAGAGGTAACACATGCCGCTTGCCAGTTGTAGTGCCTGTTGGTAGTGACTTGATGTTTTATAATCTTGCACTAGGAGAGCTTCCATCAGCAGAGCCTGAAGCTTGCAGTCTGGGTTCCTTCCATGGACAAACCATTGTGCTCTGATGTCATAACTGACTGGGAGGGACAAGTTTACATATTCTTAGGGGGATCAGACTCCAGCCACCCTGGCCAACTGATTTCTAGTACCTGTGTGTCTGTGCTGAATTCTCAGGTTCTTTAGTTGAGTAGCAAGAGTTTAATGTAGATTAACTGAGAAACAATGGGTTTTGTTTTTTCTCTCTTTTTTTCTTTGACAGTGTTGAAGGTTAGAGCGTGTCACGGAGCAAAATACAGAAATCCCTGTTAGGTCATATCGTAATGTAAATCCAAAGAATTCGCTCTTTAATTTTATATAGTGTTCAGAAAAACTGTAAGACCTTTTCAGAATTTCAGAATCAGTGTAGACCTATGAAGTTTTAAGTACCTCTACTTTTTCTTTAAACTGGAAGTTATTTTTCTGTTAGCAAAATGAGAATCATTTTTTAAATTGTGCATTTTATTTAGGCAAATATATATTAAAATTTTCATATTCAACCCGGTGTGGTGGCACACACTTGGACTTGCACCACTTGGGAGGTTGAACCGGGAGGATTGTTCCAAGTTTGAGTCCAGCCTGGGCTACATAGTGAGTTCGAGGCCAGCCTGGGCTACATAGTGAGACCCTGTCTCAAAACAAAACAAAATTTTCATTCTCATTAAACCAGTGTAAAGCTGTCATTCAATTTATATCATTATTAATTTATATTGTTCTGAGAGAATATGATGACAGTTGCTGCTTCAAGTCCCAGAACAGAATTAGATGCTGGAGAATTGTTTCTCTTCTGTATCATTCTAGGAGCTATGTCATCGTGAACAAAAGAGATCAATTCCATTCAGTATGATCATTGTGTGTTTTCACTGTTTTGGAATCATCTTGTCGACTGTGTTCTGCTAATTTTTTATTAACTTACGGAAATTTTGTTTTCAGATGACTGGGATATTGCTGTAGCTAGTTTGTTGCAGGTTACTCCCTTGTTTTCACATTCTCTGTGGAGTAACACTGTCAGATGTTACCTCATTTACACAGATGAAACCCAACCTGAAGTAGATCTTTTCCTAAAGGTGAGGATATTTATAAATTTTGTATTCACTGCTCTAAAATGTAAGTTAAATTTATATCATATTCCAGTTACAATTGTATTTAAACCAAGCAGTTTACTACTTCAAAATACATTTTAAAGAACAGGAAGCAATTTGGGCTTCTCAAGAGAAAATCTTGTTCATACCCGGGTGTGGTGGTTCACGCCTGTAATCCCAGCACTCAGGAGGCTAAGGCAGAAGGATCCCTGTGAGTTCAAGACAAGCCTAGGCTACTTAGTGAGTTCCAGGTCAGTCTCAACTACATAGTGAGACCCTGTCTCAAAAAACGAAAAAAAAAAAAAAGAGAGAGAGAGAGAGAGAAAATCTTGTTCACTGTTATAGTACATGCAAAGAAAGATGAGATGGAGAGCTAAGGTGTTTTACGTTTTAAGTTTCTGGGGGTAGCATTCTTAAGACAAGAGCTAAAACACAAGAAGATTCTAACTAGACATAGTTGGTTGTGAATATCAAAGTAAGGTGTTGGAACTTTATGTTTTCTTTAAGTATTTCATTGAATATTGTCCAGAAGGTTTAAGACGCTCACTCGTCAGGCCTATGTTAGTTACCTCTGCTAGTTCTATCCTTTAAACTGTTTCAGGTAATAACAAAGTTTAATCCTTGTCATGTTTTATTTTATTATTATTTTTCAAGGCAGCCCTTGGTGTTATTATAAGGTAGGGATCAGCTGACCAGACCCTGTAGGCCAAATCTGGCCCACTGCCCGGTTCCATATGGCTCACAGCCAATACTGATTTTCACGTTTTAAGTGGTTGAGGGGAAAAAAACAAAAATTGAAATAGATGATTAATATTTTATGACCTGTGAAAATTATATGAAATCCAAATTTTAAGGTCTAGAAATAAAGTCTTATTGGAACAATAATTCATATATATGTATGTGTATTCTTATATATGTATGAGTATTTATATATATTATATATACCATCATATGTCTGTGGTTGCACTATAAGACATTTCAGTAGCAGAATAAATTGTGACAAACCAAGTATACCACAGAGGTCCTTGCTAAAACAGCCAATTTGTTAAGCTGTTATTTTTGTAAAGATGTTTACCATCCAATCCTTTGTAGAAAGTTGAATTTTAAATAAACTTGCATGTCACAAGATAAACTTGTTATATTAATATCCTTCAATTGATTAAATTACTTAGCTTTCCTTTGTGATGTTTCTTAATTTTGGTTAAAAAAAAGATGAAATAAGGATATTTTGAGGGTATTACAAATTTCTTACATAATAATTATTACCCAGTAACTTAATTTCTCATGGACCACCATATTTTTACCAGACATCTGTCTGTTTTAGTGCTCTAACATATCATGGTAGAAGTTTTATACTCTATATGGATCTATGGATCTGTTTTTGTTTCGTGGGGGCGCTGTTGAGACAGTGTTGTTATGTAGTTCAGGCTGGCCTAGTATTTGCTATGGAGCCCAGGTGATCTCTCATTTGTGGCGGTCCTCCTGCCTCAGCTTCTTTAGTGCTGGGATTGCAGGTGTGAGCCACCACAACCAGCCTGATCTGTATTTTCTTTCTTCAGAACAGTAAAACAAATAATTCACAATAGATAATAGCAAAAAGAAGCAAATGCCAAAGCAGAATAGTCTAATACGTTTTCCTGTTGTTAGGATTATAAAATAGATCTTTTTCTGAGCTGGAAAATATCCATGTTGTTAATTGAATAGACTTATTTTTCAGTGGGAGAAATTAGCCTTTTTTTCTTTAAAATGTGATTATTATTTAAAATGTTTTATATTGTAAAATACCCAACATTAACCTGTTCTAAAGTTTGCCTTTTAAAGTAGTATGAATCTTACTATAACTTCAGTTAAGTACAATATGTTTTTATATAATTTAATTTGTTTTTAGGAATATTCACCTAAACTTAAAAGAATGTGTGAGACAATGGGATACTTTTTCCATGCTGTTTATTTTCCAATAGATGTTGAAAATCAGTACCTCACTGTAAAAAAATGGGAAATTGAGAAGAGCTCTTTAGTTATTTTATTCATTCATTCTACTTTACCAAGGTAAGCTTTAAAAAAAAGTCTATAATTTACTAATGGCATTAGCTATAAGTAGAATTGAGATTACCAAATGAACTTGAAAGAAAAGTTCTAATTATATTCTTATAATAAAAAACAATATGTGAAGCCTGGCTTGGTGGTGCAAACCTCTAATCCCTGCAGTCTGGGAGGCTGATGCAAGAGAAATGCAAGTTTGAGCTCAGCCTCAGAAACTTAGCAAGACCCTATATTAAAAAATAAAAAAGGTCTGGGAATGTAACTCAGTGTAAGCTTTGTTTTTCTTCTTTTTGTCATTTTGGTAGGAGTAACAATGTATGAAATTCAATAAATTGTATAATTATGTTACATGTAAATAAAAAAGAATTAAAAGTCTTAGACTGTGGGAATTATTCATAGGTCATATGATTAGCATCATTATAGAAAAGATCGTTTTAATCAGGAATTGGCCAACATGTTTGCTTTTGTAAATAAAGTTTTGTTAGAACAAATTCATGTTCATTTACTTATATATTCTCTCTAGCTGCTTTCATAGTGCAGCAGTAAATTTGAGTAGTACTTAACAGCGGAAACCATAGACCTTGTAAAGCCTAAAATATTTACTATCTTGTCTTTTACTGAAGTTGATGATGGCTTATTTCCATAATCAATATTAACCTTCATGTTTTCTTTCTTTGGCTAGAATTGGAGTACAGTGGTGCCTTGGTTCACAAACTTAATCCTTTTCATGATTCTGGTTGCACAATTTATTCCATCATTCTGGTTGCAAGTTGCAAGTGGTAGGCACATCCAACCAGTATCGTGGAATGAATTCTATGACCAGAGTCGTGGGAAGAATTATGTTCGTGAACTGAAGTACCACTGTATGTGAACTTTATGTGTTATGTATGTACTTGAACACTGATATAGGTGTTGAACTGTAATCTAAATGGTGTGAGGAGCTTATTACTTAAGCCCAATAAAATGAACAATTTTCAATTGTTGAAATTGTTCAATTGTTTGATTAATACAGTGTGTGTATAGTCATGCTAATGAATCTTTCTATAAATAAAGATTTTTAACCAGTTAGATACATAAAAGAAAAAATAAGCTTAACAAGAGATTACTTTTTCTTTCTATTTTGTTTGATTGGATTTAACCCTTTGAAAGCATTTCTCGTTTTGTCTTGTGGACCACCTCTGACTTTAGCAGTGGGCCTTACGTTTCACCAGTTTTCCTGCATTGTCAGCCATGATTGGTCCTTAAGACCCTGCCCTGTGGTAGGGTGGGCTGGGCACCAGATGGCAGTGAGACTTCGCCCAGTGCATATCTAGGCTTTGGCAGTCCTTCAACTTGATTGCTTTCTGTCTTAGTTACTTTTCTCATTACTGAGACAAGATACCTAAGGCCCAAAGTTAAGGGAGGAAAGTTTTTTTTGGCTCGCAGTTCGTAGAGGTTTCGGTCCAAGGAAAGGTGGCATGGCAGACAGGCATCACAGAGAGAAACAGTTCATGGCAGACAGATGGTAGCAAAGCAAGCAAGCAAGGGACAAGACAAGCCTCCTTCTTAGATTGTCTCTTGTATTGTATCCAGGCCACCAGGATTAGGGCAGTGCCAAACTAATCAGTGGACTGATTTAGTAATCACCCACCCACCTAACTCCTAGCACCCTTAATCCTAGAATTGCACTATGAATCAGTCACTCAACTCTAGATTCAGCCACCTCTGAGGCTTTGGGACCACATCTAGACACAAGCCGTAACATCTCCGGTTGCGTTTCATTTCTACCCTCCCCATTTCCTTTTATTACTATTTTTTTATATTTGTTAAGGATATATCTTGTTTTATTGATTAATATTTAGGCAGTATTTTGTCTCACTTGACAATATGTCCTTTGTTACATCATTTTTTTTAGTTTTTCTCTTTAATCTTTGAAACCATCTTGTTTTTTCTTTACCTAAAAGAAATGTATTTTGGGCTGGGAATGGCACAGCGCCTGCCTGGCAAGCACGAGGCCCTAAGTTCAATTTCCAGTACCAAAAAAGAAAGAAAGAAAGAAAAAAAAATGTATTTGCTAATAAAATGTTGCACATTATTTTGACATTTTTAACTTTTATTTTTACCTGCTTAGTTTTAAACTTTTCTTAATGTTTCCCCTCCCATTTTCTTCATGTTTTTTTTTTTTATGTTATCTCATCATTTGTTTCTTTCACTGGTGTCAAGAAGTGTGGCCAGAGGGACAGGCCTTTCTTGTTGGGGCCTTTATTTCTCTCAGGTTTCTTCTTACCTCTCTTAATGGCTCCTCCATATTTCCCAAAAGATGAAACTAGAAAAATTACCCCCAAACAACTTGGGAGCTTTATGGGGAGACACTTTTCTTGGTCAATAGTTATTCTTCATATGTAGATGGAACCTACAACAGTGTCTTTTAAAAGAAAAACTATTTGACACTTAATTCACTCTTAATAGAAGAAATCCTGTAGTTAAAAATCTGTGGTCTTTGAATTATGAAATGATTGGATGCGAAGCAGTCTTTGCCAGCATCATGGTTCGTTGTAGGAGGAGCACAGGCTGTGCCTCTCCACCATCATTCTTCAGAGAAGGTACAGTAGAAGGGAAGTAGTCACACGTCCACCACTGCTTGTCCAGGTGCTCTTCTTTTACGTATTTACTCTGTGTGACAGAATCAGGAGAAATCTAGGAGAGGCTGGCTGAGTGGGAATATTGCAGATGCAAGTTTCAAAACAGGACATTCTCTGCTCTTGATTGGCCTCCCTTCATTATGTCAGGACCCTTATTGAGCAGCCAGGCTCACTGAGAATGCTTGATCCTGAGGAGAAGGCCAGGCAGCCTCTCCCTTCAGATGGCAGCCTCTGGTCTTGGCAGAACAGAGGGGCAGCTACAACTGTTTTTCTTCAGGGAATCACCTGTCTTTCTTCAAAAGAGAAAAGCTCCCTCTTGGGAAGCTGTTAGTCCCCAAAGGGTAATTGTGTCATAGTTGGAGACTTCTTAGGCCTTATCTTTGGTTTTGTTCATTGCTTTTTCACCGGATTCTGGTACAGTTTCCTCATAGACTTTAGTTACGTGGGAGTTAGTTACTTGGTCTCTGGTTGAACTTTCCTCATTACTGTCAGCCCCACTGTTTCAGCTCTTCTTCCAGCCTCACATAGTGGCATTTCCTCTTGCAGCTCCTCCTCCGCATGTGTCCAGTCAGGCCACTTTCTGACTTCAGTAATTATTAACCCATGACTTCTTTATTTAACCTGTATACTTCCCTTCTACCAGAGTATTTGGCCCAAGTTCCAGAGAACCACACATCATTTCTTCTGAGTCCCACATGTCAGTTTTGTAGAGTATGGTTTTGAAATACAAGCATACCCCTCAACAGAAGGCTGACTCTTTTCTCCCAAAGCAATCTTGATGGGACCATTGAAATTGTAAACTTCTGTAGCACATGATCAGGATGATTTTAACATAGACAAGATCTGTGGATTGAATTGATGGGATCATCACTGATACATCTAATCATTTTCTTCCTTTAACTTTGGGGTTAGTACTCCAATTTGGAAATTTTGAATCATGTAATAATATGTGTACCAAAATTTGCCTCTATGGACAGTTTTCATTTAATGTTTATTGTGAAGGGAAATAGGTTGCAAGGCTCCTATGGTATAAAAAAAACAGTAGATTATTAGTTCTCAGATTTTTAAAGAACATTTGTAAAAGTCATAATTATGGTTCCCTGTAGCAAAGTTTTACCCTTTTAAAAACCTTTACTGCAAACTGTTTGCCAGCCATTTGAGCTTCCCTAATGACCACCAGGTCTTTCTTACAGTAGATATTGGGTGTAAAGACTCAGGTCAAAAAAGATCTACTAAAATGATCCCTTTTAGGAGAACATCACTTGTTCTGCACCTCGGTCTTTCCCAGACACTTGTCATTGTCATTGAATCCCGGGATTGGCTCTCAGGATGCATGACTAACTGTGCAATGTAGCACAAGAGATGACAACTTTCATTCTAGCCTTTTGTTGGAAGACTGTGAAGAAGCTTTTCTGAAAAACCCTGAAGGAAAACCACGATTAATTTATCATCGTTTGGAGGATGGTAAAGTCAGTTCTGACTCTGTCCAGCAATTGATTGATCAAGTGTGTAACCTCAACAAGGCCAACAAAGCCAAGGTAAAATTCCCAGGATTTTTTTTAAGAACATGCTTAGCAGAGGAAAGAGCTAGAGCCAAAGCCCTGAGTTGGGTCTGAGCCTGGGTGCTTGGGAGGGGAAGGAACCCAGCAGGCCTGGACCATAGTGAGTGAGGGCAGTAAGCAGGAACCGGAAGAACCTCAGAGATGCTGTGGGGACTTTGATTTTTTTCCCCTTGGAGTGATTTGGGAAGTCACGGGAAAACTTTAAGCAGAATGACAGAGCTTGACGTGATCCTGTAACAGTGATCTCTTTGGCTGTGGTATGGAGGAAGACCGTGGTCTAGAGAGTCATGGGCAGGTCTGAGAGCTATTGCAGCCATCCTGGTGAGAGGCCGGAGGTCCAGACCAGGGCTGTGGTAGCAGAGATGATGAGATAGGGCAAAAACTAACTAACTAAATAAATAAATAAAAGCTTTTTGCTTGATTGTACTGTTGTTCACACTGAATCACTTGTGTGACCTTAGCTAAGTTACTTGTCTCAGTTTCATGTTCTGTAAACTGGGGACAATAATAGCATCTCCCTCATAAAGTTGCTGTGAGGATGTTAGCTTATATATGCTAAGAGCTAGAACGGTTGTGACACATAAGCACCCTAAAGGTGTTTACCATTACCAGCTCCTCCTCCTGCTGTTACTGTGTTTTCTTGTTATTGTTTTTCCCAGATCATTGATCATTCAGGAGATCACGCAGAAGGAGTATATAAAACTTACATTTGTGTGGAAAAGATTATTAAACAGGTAAATATGTAAATATGTATCTTTTGTAAGACTTCACCTAAGATATTTTAAGGCCATTTTTCATAAAATTGAGTTTTCCAGAGAAAACCACCTATTCTTTTGAGAGCAGTACCTGAGGAGAACAGCATTGTTTCTTTTGGAGTCCATCCTGTGGTTTGATCAGGAAAAATGTGCATTTTACTCAGTAGAGAGGCTCTCAGATTCACTGTGCACTTTGGGTATTCATGTATTAGAAAGTTCTGCTCAAATTATCCTACCACAAATCCCTAACAGCAGAAAGGAAGGGACACATACCTCCAGGAGGATGAGCACGAACCACAGAGATATATGTGAAAGCTTCTATGAAGTCTCATTTATTATCTCAAAAATGTATGTGCATCATATATTCTGCTTGATATTATGGCTGTGTTTATTTTTAATATATGCTATTGTAAAAATTATGTATCAGCAAAATAGTAATAGCTATATAAAAACAAGAGACCCACTCCCTGTGTTCATTCAAGTAAAATGAGCACAGTAGGAAAATGTGTGATGTTTAGCCTGTACTTGCTCATCTGGATTGACGCCTCCCCCAGAGAACCAGGATCCTTATTTGAAAAGTAAGGGGTTAGATTACTGGTAGGGCAGTTTATTACCATAGAAAAACAATGAGTCAAAACATGATACAACGTCTGGCCACATACTTTATATAATTTTCTCTAGTAGAAAATTTATCATTACCAACTGATATTTTCAACAGTCTTGCCAATTTTAGGACCAATATGAGTAGAATGAATTGAGCAAAATGAAACTGATCATATTTACTATCTTTAATCCTTATAGGACAATGTATATTCAGTGATTTAATATAGTTAAGACGAAGTATGACAGCAAAGATACTTAATATCAAGAAACTCCGTATTAGTAATTAAATTTTTATGGCATATTTCTTCAATGTTAACACATACTTTAAATTATTCAATAAAACCACAGATACTGTGTAGCCTTTTTCAGAAAACAAATCCTATATGAGTCATATATTCCTTTAGTTTTATTTTAAATAAAAAGGAGTCTTTATATTTTACTGTTATTTGCCTTTATTTTTAAATGAGTATTTTTGTAGTTAAAATTTTATTTGTACACATGGTATATGCAGGTGATAGGTTTGGACTTGTGTGCTAACCCGTACCCCAAGGTCTCTGTTCTTCATTCACTATTGTGTGCTTGTTCTTGGTGTTCAGGACATACTGGGCTCTGAGAACACAGACCTGGAGACTAAGGATCTGGGCCCTGAAGAGTCCGTTCCAGAAGAGGATGATTTGGGGGATGTTCTGTGGGACATACACGACGAGCAAGAACAGATGGAAGCTATTCAGCAGGCCTGTAGTTCAGCCCACGATTTGGGTTTCGAGAAAGTAAGCTTTTGGAGTACGTACTGTTCTAACGAATACCAGTCAGCATTTACAAGGCTGTATGGTGCTTGTGTTTTCACCTGAGGATAGTTGAGATTTATGATTGTGTTGTCTGCTCTTTGAGCTTAACTGTCCATGTTGATTGATTGATTTTTTTTTTTTTTTTTTTTTTTTTT